GAGGCGCGCTTCGCAACAGTGGTTGGCAGCTGCGGGATCGGCCGGCGTCAGCGACATCGATGCGGTGAGTGCCTGATGTTTTCCCCTCAGTTCACCAGACTACTCTAGCTCAGGTTGTAGTAGTTTAGAGAAGGGCTGGGTGAAGCATTGAAGTGAGCTTTGATCGTTTCAAGCCAAGTCGAAGCGCTTTGAAACCAAAGTTAATGCGGAGGGGGTAAACACGGGAGTGTGAAAAATTGCTTGCGCGTCTTGCTAGTAGGCTAATAGTGGGTACGGCAAGTAAATTGTTAACAGGGGCAAACAGCAGGAGGCTAGTGTGAACGATGGAGAACCTTAAGGTGAAGGAACTCACCGAAATTTGTGAAAAACTCGGCATTACTTTGGGCCGTGCGAAACGGAAGCAAGCGATCCTTGAGATGATGAGGGATGAGGGAGTGTCGGCTGAGGAAGTCGATGAGGCCTGGGTGGATATCAAAGCACGCCGCGAGGAGGCTGAAAGGCGAGAAGCTCGCGAACGTGAGGAGGCTGAAAGGCGAGAAGCTCACGAACGTGAGGAGGCTGAAAGGCGAGAAGCTCGCGAACTTGAAGAAACTGAAAGGCGCGAAGCTGGCGAACGTGATGAAGCTGAAAGGCGAGAACGCCGCGAGGAGGCCGAGAGACAGGAGCGCCTCGAGTTGAAACGAATAAAATTGGCAATCCTACAGTGTTCGCAAGCGCCTAGCGTAGCTTCTCCGACGATTCAGGTCAGCGGTTTTAGAATTCGGGACCAACTGCCACCGTTCGTAGTAGGCGAGGACATGGCGAAGTATCTCGTCAAGTTTGAACACGTCTGTGAGCGAAACGCTTTGGAGCGGTCTCTTTGGGCGCAGAACCTGTTAGCTCTTCTTCCCGGCGAAGTGTCCGACGCGATAACTTGCTTGTCGAGGGAAGCGTTTGAGAGCTATGACGAGGTTAAGGAAGTGCTCTTGAGACGTTATAAGTTGTCACCCGAGGCTTTCAGGCAAAGGTTCCGGTATGCTAAAAAGGGGAATGAGTCACACGTTGACTTCGCATTTCGTCTTAAAGCCGATTTAATTGAATTGCTCAAGGGCGAAGGTGTTTATGACGAGCGCGATAAAGTGGTGGAATGCGTTGCATTGGAGCAATTCTACCGCTGCATCGAGGAGGATGTCAAACTTTGGCTGCAGGACAGACTTGGTAAAGTACAGCTAAACAAGGCAGCAGAGTTAGCTGAGGAGTATTATACTCGCCGAAATTTGCACAGCAGGGCAGTGCGCGTTGAAAAGGATGAGAAAAAAGAGGGCTTTTCAAAGAAACCTGATCAACGGAGACCCGCTCCGCACCGTAATTTCAAGAAGGACCCGTCTCTTACGAAGAACAGTGTAGGGGAAGGGCAAACCGAAGCGGAGAAATCGAGTGAGGTTCCTGAACAGCGCACTGATACCACACGGGCATTTGAATCACTGAAGCCGCTAATCTGCTACAACTGCAAAAAGGAAGGGCACATCGCGAGAAACTGTCAGGAAAAGTTTGCCTTCGCAACAATCCAAGAATCAGAAAAAAACATGCGGTTGTTGGAGCCGTATCTCCAAGAAATTAGGGTCAATGAGAAAACGTGCCGAGCACTTAGAGACTCAGTGACAACCATGGACGTTGTCCATCCTTCATTGGTGTCTCCGGATGACTTTACAGGAGAATGCGCGTGGATCAGGCAAGTCGCCGAGGAGCAGAGTGTTCGCTCACCAATCGCCACGGTTGTCATTGAAGGCCCGTTCGGTAAGCTTCGCACCGAAGCGGCTGTGTCTGCCGCGCTAAACGATCGTTTTCCTTATCTTTTCTCCAACAACTCAGAGCAGCTTCTCAAAGAGCAGGGCAAATCGTTCTTCCCCAACTTAGCGTGCATGGCCCTCACGCGATCGCAAGCGCGGAAGCTTTCGCGGAAGCTTGACCTTGTTCAATGCGGTGAACTCTCAAGTGACCTTGTCGGCGGGTCGACGGAACCCCAGAAAGGTAATTTTCCGCGGGAGTCATGTGAGCAGTCACGCGAGCGGCCCGTCGCCGAAGCGACCGGCGCGGTATGCGTAGGGGGAGACGACATGGCGCCATTGAGTCAGAGCGAGAGGGTTGCAACGCTCTCGCCTGTAGCGGAAAGTTGGAGCGAGCTTTCGAGGGATGATCGAGAGACGCCCAATCAAGAGCGGCGCGAAGACCTCTCGATTAAAGCGCCAGTGGAAAGCCACATGAAAGCTTCACAAATGTTGTCGAAGGAGTACTACGACAAATCGGCGAAGAAGCGTGCTTTTGAAGTAGGAAGTCAGGTAATGCTGCTGCAGCCGTCCGAAAGGAACAAGCTTGAGGTTGATTGGGAAGGACCTGCCAATGTAATATCGAAGCTTCCCGATACGAATTATGAAGTGAAATTAGGAAGGCGGCAGAACAAAATTTACAACTTGATGAAACCCTACGTTCAACATCAAGCGGTCGTAAATCAGCTGTTAAATGCTTCAGAGGAAGACGAAGCAGAACTTTTTAGTTCTTGTGAGGTAATCGAAAGGGGATCGAAAGTAAAAGTAATCTGGGAGCAGATAAACCTAGAGCCTAGGTTTAGTGAAGTCCGGAAGGAGGACCTGAGAAGGATTGTTTCCGAGTTTGGAGACGTGTTTTCGGACCACCCCGGAAACACGAGGGTGATCGAACACGATATTGAGCTAAGCGGTGAGGAGTCAATCCGTAGCAAGCCGTATCGTTGTTCCCCTGTGCAACGTCGCAAGTGTGAGCCGCTCTTGGTACCGCATAGGTATCGTCGCCTAAAAGTGGCCGGTTACTGAGATGGAGCGTGATACTCCGACAGCGCAACTTTGACGTTCGCTAAAAAAAAAGGAAAGCCTAACGCTAATGCAGGTGCATTGAGCAGTGCGTTCTAGCTAGTACCTTATCAATCTTTCGTTTTCTCGCTGGCGATTCGGGGCAAAATTTTCACCTCATCACGACCTGGGCTGAGTGCTCTCGTCCAGAGTGAGCTCAACGAGCCAACTTTTTGTTGTATTCTAATTCGGTAAGTTTTTATACGTGTAAAAAATGAGTTCTTATTTTAAAAGTCTTGTGTCCCACATATGCCTCTTGATGTAGAGGGAAAGAAATTCCGATAGACACGTAGCTAGGTATATGTTGTACTATACTTTGTCTGGTGTTCTGTCGGGTGACCGTGGGCACTTGCTCGTGTCGTGTGTTGTCTGTTATCGATTCGTTCTTGACAAGTTGCATACTGTCGACAAGTGCTGAGACCAAGGATCGTCAGAGACGAGTGAAGCTGGCCGGCAAGTTGTGGCGACAAGCCAGTGGAGCTGGGATCCGTCGTCAAGAATGGGATGTGTTCCCGGAACAGAGTCTGGAGCTGCATTCTCCCCATGGCCCTGGAGGCGAACCTGGAGGGACCTGGCGAACGACTGCACCTGACATCCGAGCCCCATGGAAGCAGCTCATCTTTTCGGCGCATTGTCTGGCGGCGGGGGTGCTGTTATGCCTGCGAGTCGACAGCGAACGTCCGTGCCTCTAAAAAAGGCAATCTGTGTCAAGGCCAGCCGCGAGCCCGCCTGACGCGATCAACAACTCAACGGCGTCAGCACGCCACGGCGCCTTTCTGTCGCCCACGTGCAGTGAGTCACCGCAAGCGAGCCGTCCAGTAAACAACTGGCGTCTTCCTGTCTGGCGGGTCTGACGCAGTGCCTTGTGACGTCACTCGTCCTTCGGTGCAGCCACCTGCAGCGCAGCCTCTCCAGATTCGATGAAAAAGAAGGACGCGGCCCAACGGCGACCCCATTGGAGGAGTCTGCCCTGACGACCAGCGGCGCTTCTGGTTGGACATTTGAGTTGGACCCGCTGCATATAAAAGAAACCCTGCGGCGCGTCGCGATCGGCGGTCCTAGGTGAAAGCTGACATGTGTGTCAGAGCGGACCCGTTTGAGAGCAGACCTATGTGTTAGAGAGGAGAGCTCGGCTCTTCGAGTCTCTGTCGGCCCCAGTGCCGAATTTGTAACGCGTCTGTATATATGCTGTACATAAACCTTGTTTAACTCACCTTGGTCTCGTCCGCTCGTCTATCAGCTCTGCGCAGAAGCAGTCGCGAGCTGAGAAACCTACGCTACCAAAACGGCTGGTGACCTTCCCGGCGGAGTTCGAAGCAGTGGCGCCTTCGGGACCGTGTTGGCGTCGCCGTCTTTCGAAACAGTGGTTGCAGCGGTGAGATTTTGAGGCGCCCTTCGTAACGTCGTCGGAGGCGCGCTTCGCAACAACCGGGAGCTTAGGCAACGGGGTGCGAGATAAGAGGGTCTTATGAAAACTAGCCTGTTTCTATTAACAACGCTTTCCTCGGCTGAGCTACTTAGACGAGAGTCGTCCAAAGCACTTTTTTTCGATCAGGACCCAATGCGGTCACTATGTTCTGAAACATGACCATGGAACAATATTTTTATATTTCTGAATTCGTGTGCAGGGTTGAGGCAATCTAGTGGTCCCTATCGATACGTTTCTGCAATGTTGATGCGAAATGTTCTTCGTAAATTATCCTTATACTAGATATTGGATGTAGGCATTTCTAGGCGGCATTTCATCCGCCCTTTCTTCCCGCTTCAATCTTTTCTAATGTTCTAACCTTTCCGATTCTGAATTTAGCGACTGTGGCCCACTAGGTTTGGCGAGTTTGAGTCTTTTGCCGTCATGCGTAATCCTATGCCTGCAAGTTAGGAAGTGAAGCTCTTATTATTTTGTTACATAAAAGTTAACAGAGCCCCTCAAGTTGCCGATGTCAAACTGTGGCACAAAAGGCTTTGTCTCTTTGGTAACTGGCGTGACCAGTTGATGAGCGACAGGGCTTTCACAGGATTGCGAAAATGCTTTTATGGGAGTGCCGCATGATTATTCTAAATTTGGAATACCTATTTTGATTTGAACCATGTTTAAATCTGGTATGTATTGTACTCGCATTACTTTCGCGCACATACCTCCATGCATGCAGAAAATCTTGTCAGATACAAGGGCAGCCACTGGTAAGCAGTTGAAGACGTCTTCGAAGGTCTTAAAAATCTTGATGTTGAACCTCCTCTTGCCTAATATAAAAATAAAAATCCAGTTGCAAGAACGTCAATAAGCATTTTGGCAAGGGCTCAGTGAACAATACAAGCTCTTGCAGTACCTAAGCGAATACCAATCCATATACTGCTGCTGTTTTCTTTTGCGTATACCAGCGGGGAGTGGAAGTGTTGGTGTTGACCAAGTACTGACACAAGTAAACTATGCGCACAAAACAAAAGACAAAACAAAAGAGAAAAAGAGCATAGAAGAAGCAGTAAATTTTGCATAGAACATAGCAGGTGAAACCTGCTACACGTATTCCTGAGATGACTGGCATAGCCATCCCGTGCTCCACTCCTCCCCTAAAATTATTGTCGACATGACATACAAAGCGCTGCCCGGCCTTTACTTCAAAACAAAGTGCCCAGCCCATCAAATGAAAAAATTTCACGTCTACGCCCTTCCTAAATTTTGGTGCCAAAAGAAGCAAAATGAAAAAAGGGCCTTTTTAGACGAGTTAGCAGAATCCCATGTCGGTTCAAGCTCGAAATGAAACAGACAAAAAGAAAAAACGCATGCCTAGTAAAAATTGGCAAGGACTGCAAAAGCACCGACACTCTTCTGGGTGTTTTTCTTTTTTTTTTTGCAGTGATACTTCATTTCATGCATAAAACCGTTAGCACAACATGACGTTCTAATGACTGTTTACAATCAGTCGTGCAATAGGGCCACTCTACTTTTGCGTCATTACTAGAGGCGAGATTTGGAGGAACTAAAAAACCAGGTTTTAGGTACCTGAAGTAGGCGGACAAAACACTGTTTAGGCCCCCCGAAAATGTAAATATTGTGCAACAAATTTTAATAAAGTTCAAATATTCGAAGAACTACGTGTTGGATCAATGTCTACGACAGGAAATCAAACATAAATGCTTTAGTTTATGACGGTATAAAGGCATTAACAGCTCAGCGTAGCCATGCAATTTTGTTTCCGCAGAGTTTGCTGAATACGGTCTCTCCTATTCTAGTGCAGCAGGTGACTTATCTGTTCATCGTCGTATAAACACGCTCCAGGGTCTCTGTTTTTGACGTGGCTGGGAAGGCCACCGCAAGAACAAATAGCCAGAGCGCCAAGGGCATTTTTGCCTCGTATTAACTAAGTCTGGCCGCACAGGGTCGATGTCCCTTGTGTCTGTCAACACATATTAAAGGACCCTTCACCATGGTTGAGGATTTCCAGTAGGCAAGAGGAATGCATGCGCTGGGCGCTCACGATATCATCTGCCAAGATTTGCAATGCTACGCGCCGCGGAGAGGTGAAATATTAGACTGGACGGCGCTGCTCGTGAGGGCGTGCGTCCGTAACATGATGGAGGCGAGGTAAACAGCAAGGAATGGTCCTGCGTATGCCAAGGTAGTAGGTGACATTGCGAGAACTATTCGAGGCGACGCGTGTAATTTGTGCAATCTGTTGCCTGAATATAAGTATGAAGGTTGACAGAAATATTGACACACAAAAGGAGTCATTACGCTTTGTTTTTGTAAGTTCGTATAGAGCAAAATGCGAGACCAAGCTGCCTCCATTTCGTTTGCGTTGGAGTTCTCGCCATCCTCGCATAATGTCGGTGCCAGCATTCGCAACGCTCGGCGTATTTTTGGTGCATCGTCTCTTTGAGCACTTCCAGTGGTGCAACACTATATATGTACCGTGGTAAGAATACATTATTCATGCCAGCTTCTCTTCGAATTTGTGCGCATGGAGGAATTCACGCCACAGAAACAGGCAGTACAATGCAGAGAACGTAGAAACAACACAACATCACTAGAGTGCACAACCTGGCATTGGAATTTCATGCGAGTATAACATTGCGTTCACATGACGTGTTGATTTGTGTGCTTCGTGCGATCATCTGGCTCCGAGTTGCTCCGATACCGTAGGAGGGCAGAATCCAGCGCATAATTAAAAGTTCTCATGGGATCTAGTCCAGCGCTGCTTAAGAAGTAAATGACAAACAAGAGAAAACCGATGGGGCATCTCTTTTTTTACACTGTATACGTTCCCCTGATGATAATCCACGGTTTCGCATCTATTCTTAATCGTCCTGCGCATGCGCAGAAGTGCCTCATGTTCCCTACGCATGCGAGCAGACGCCGGGAAGGTGTCGCGGAGACGACGCGATGTGAATGAATACATGTGCGGTGGCTAATCGGCCTTCATATTGGCTAAGAGGCTTTGCAGTCTTAACAGTGCTGAAAGGAACTTATGAGGTGGAGCATAGGTTGCGCCCATACAGTTCTGAAAGCTCACTTTTGCTCGGAAACATGGCTACTGGTCTCCAACTGTACTCGAAAGCAAAATTGAGGTGAGCATACATATATGTATGCTCACCTCAATTATTGCTGATTTTGGCAATAGACATTTATAGGTGCTTAATAGAATTCAGGCACAAACACCAAAAATGGGCATTTAGACGCACTATAAAAACAATATAAAAGCTCTTATTGGCCTCTAACTCATGCTCATATATCAAAATGGTACTAAAGTATCGCGAGAAACAAAATAGCTATTTTCCTGTGCTTTGTCGTGGCTGTGTTTGGGAATGGTTTCACATTACATTACAAGAAGACATTTGATTCGGTTATAATATCAGCTGTCATGCAAGCACTACAGAATAATAAAGGCATCACCGAAGCGTGTATAAACATACTCTAAAATTCTACAGCGGATCTACAGTCACCATAGCCCACCATGGAGAAAGCGATAGAATCCCGATAATGATGGGCGTAAGGCAAGGTTACACGATTTCTCCAATGTCGGGTGCTTACTAGAGGTTTTTAGGGCGCTAGGTTAGGCAGGGTTTAGGATAAGAGGTGAAGGAGAGTATTCTAGTATCCTGAGATTTGCTGATGACATTGCAGTGATCAGTATCTCAGGGTACGAATTGGAGCTCGTGATCACAGAACTGGGCACAGCAGGCCTGAAAATAAGTGTACGCGAATTTAAAGTAATGTGAAACAGTCTCGGCAAGGAAGCCCTAATGAAATGCAGCACACCGAAGCAACTGTGGCTGCGTTCCCGGCATTGCAAATGCCCCATGTTGACAGCATCAAACTCACTAAGCTGCCTACTCTCAAATTCAGGTAAATCGTCTAATCGAAGCGTGGTTAATCACACTACCAACTAGTACAGCATCTTTATGTCACCTTTCATGTAACAAAATTGGTCAGTCACTGTATTCTGAATGTAAGTATAGTAATAACTAAGTATAGAATTCTCGAGACAGGAAAATATGCCTAAATTTGATTAATGTCAAATCAACAAAAGCATGAACAAAAATAGTCGGTTACGTTTGTGCACTTTAATAATCTTAATGAACACGTAAATTCAGAAATAATTTTCCATCGAAACTTTGTAAAAGCTGCAATTTTCGTCACTTTCAACATCATTTACAATGTGACCATGGCCCCGGTCAAAATGCGCTTCGAACTTATCGTTTGATATGTACCGCCACTACTACTACCACGACCAGGCGCCCTGAATGGCAGTTGGAATAGTGGGCAGTGAACGGTTAGTTCACAGTGCTTTAGGAAACTTGTTTCGTGTCAGCAGGCTGAACAGCTGAAGGCTCATCATCTTCAAGACGTTTCGAAAACAACCCGTGTTTGAGTTTTTTTTTTTGACAAAGCGTTCTTATTGCATAAAGTTAAAATAAAGCTGCCGAGTACCAGATCCATGTGCGGACAAAATCTTGGTCACTAACTGATGAAAACGGCCACGTGGACAGCGCCACCTCATTTCGGTTGTTTGCGAACACAGTTTTCACTATTTCAAGCCACACACTCGCTGCGGGTAGCGCTGAGAGCACTCAATGGATAGTTCAAATCAGCAGAGTTTTGTCCCAATAGTACTGACTTCACGAGAGTTTGATGTCATTGCATGGTGCATATCCTGGCTGGCACCAAGGATCACGTATTGATTATGTGATTTCTTGATTAATGTGGGTCGAAGTTGACGACAGTTTTCTGTGAATTGAATAAAACCCCAAGTTCACTTCTTGTAAATGTATTAAAGGTTAACTGCAGCTACCAATCAGGTGATATATACAATAGAAACAATGAAGTTTATAGAATCCTATAGGCAGCTGCGTACAATAATGCACAACTTCCTGTAATTTTACACTGTCCACCCAGTTTCTCCACCAAACATGAGAGCTGCTGGTCGATGGCACGGGCAGCTATAAAATACATGCCACTGCCATAGTTCGGATAACTCAAGCTGTGCACTGCCCTAGCTTTGTACCCAATCAAGCGTTTATGCAGCACGGCAAGTTAATGCTGATGTTAACTTACGCCATCTTCAACAAATCTCACCAGATTGTGCCACAACCGTATGACGATTGGACGAAACGGCAGATAAAGGCACCCAGGTACGGTGGTAGAACTGAGACCGATTACTGGAAATGGGGCACCCCCTTGGTCATCCTCCATTCAATTTTCGCGCTAATGACAAAAAAAAACACAACTGTCTAAAATGAAGATGTGCACAAGTGAAACGTTGACCATCAGCAAAAGCTGGCACTTTCTGAGCCCATACTCGCGCGACAGAGAAAACCTACATTCATCGTAAAAACCGTAGACACGGTTGATGGAGGCGCTCTCATGGTTTCCGCGCAGCAGGAAAAAGTTCTCCGGGTACTTGACCTTGTAGCAGAAAAGGAGGCAGACGTTCTCCAGTGAATGTCGTCCCCGGTCTACGTAGTCACCGAGGAAGAGATAGTTGCTCTCGGGAGGGAAGCCCCCGTACTCGAACAGCCGAAGAGTGTCGTAGAACTGACCATGGGTGTCACCGAGGATCTGTATGGGGGCTTCCAGTTCCAGCAGCATGGGCTGTGACAGAAGCACCTCGCGCACCTTCCGGCACAGGGCTTTCAAGTCGCTCTCAATGAGGTCCGCATTCCTACCTGGCTTACCGCCACGCACTGCATGAAAAAGAGCAGGAAGAAGCATTGAACCTCCTTTCACTGCTGCAAGTGGCTGCATGCCCTTTGCTGATAGCTATGCAAACATCGCTACTCCGGTTTGAGCCAGTGCAAATTGGTCATGTGGGTGCCGCCAGTGTGGGGCTGTTGAACGAATGTTTTCTATCTATATATTTCATGACGTGAATTGGCAAGATAAAAAAAAGATTGAATACACCTGACCCAATCAATATACGCATACAACTCAACCGTAGCGCTGCTCATTTTTGTGTTAAAAATTTCAAATGAAAAGGTTAGAAGCTTAAAATGGCGGCAATGAAAACCATCTGTAAAATAGTGTATATCAAGAATAGAGAGACTATACCCACTTACGAGGAACCTTTAGGCGGCCGAAACTGCTGCAGCGGGTGAAAAATATGAAAACCATCCAGTGTACGTTGCGGCTGGTTCTCCCTGAATACTTTTTACTAACGATGGTTCACCATAAACTTTTCAGCTGCTTCAATCAGGTTCGCCATGCAGCGTACACTGGCATCTGGAAACTGTAGATGAAGATTGTATGTTCTTTTTCTTGGCAAGAGTTCCAGGATTAACAGAATCTGTTTTATCTATTCACTGCTAAATGTACCTCTTGGTTCGTAAACTATGGTGCGCTGCACCGCGGCTGTCCAATTGTTGGTTCAACACTACATTTCAACACAATAGTGGAGGCAGCGACCACTACACCATTATCAGCACTGTAGGGGCTCCACGATGTAATAACATTTTGTTCACGAAGAATTCGGCCACTTCGACAGCTGCTGCTAACTAGAGAAGCAGTCTCAGCATACCGAGTCAGATAGCTGTCACTATAATTTACGCTTTTTAGACCATAAAATGGAAAATGGGCCGAGTATAACTGTTCCGACTTGTGCGAGTGCTCCTGGTAGCATACTATGAAGAAGCCCAGCAGGTTTTAACGGTGGCATCTTATGTCTTTGTCCCGACAGGTTCTGACGTAGTGCAGCACAAAACTCAGCCACTTCGGCCAGTAACACTTAGTACGAATGTGCGTTACCGTTTTGATTACTCCCAAGTGTCATAATAATGGATCGTTGCGGCAAGCCTCCAAGATCTCTGGACGGGACGACAAGCAGGAATGTTTTTGTATTGTGCTCAAAGTTCCTTTTAGACAGGACATTATTCCGTAAAATAACATCTCCAAACCACGCCGAAAGGTTCGTGAAACGTTGGCTGAGTGCCCTTTTAGGTAATTGTTCATGTCTGGGTCCCATTGCTTATGATGCGCCATTTGTGATGTCACTGCTCTAAGAAGAGAAAAATCTTGCCCATTGTTGTGTTCCAAGCACCCCTGTGTCACGAGCGAGCCCCGCGAAGGACCGGTTGCTGAAACTGCTTCCAGATGTTGACTCCTCCCCTTCCCTCACTCGGCGCAAACGAGCCACCGTCGTTTCCCCCGGCAGTTCGGCCACCGCCTCCATCCGAATAGGAATAAACTTGTTTTTAACCGTTCGAGGCTGTCTGAGCTTTTTGGACTACCGCGACCAACGCGTACGTCTATGGGCCGAGGACAACTCCGGACATAACAGTGGCGACGAAGATGGGATGGCGACGAGGAAGTGGATTTGGACCAACACTACGCAACGATATTGACAAGCTACAAGCTATGGCTAGGCACGGGCTCCCAAATCGGCTACCCGAATTCAACGACTCATCATGGTCATCGTGGTTTGGACGCCTACAATTTTACTTCGAGGCTAACATCACTGATGCAGCAATGAAGAGGGCCAACCTGCTAACGCTGTGTGGGGAGCAGACATACGACACAGTCTGTGCCCTGATTCAGCCACGCACTCCAGCAGCCGTTGACTACGACGACATCGTAGCAGATCTACAAGAGCACTATGACCCAAGGCCATCGGAGGTCTACTGTCGAGCCCGCTTCCAACGGCGAGACCAACTGGAAGGCGAAAAAGTGGCCGAATACGCAGCGGCTCTCAAAAAGCTCGCTGCTGACTGCAATTTCGGGACGTTGACCGCGACAGCTGCAGCTAATGCGCAGGAGGGAGGATCGACTGCCACACCTGCTAACACCACTATGCTCCCCTTGGACGTTATGTTGCGTGACCATTTTGTGTGCGGACTGCGTGACGCAGGCCTACAACAACGCCTGTTCGCGGAGACGGGTCTCACCTTCTCCAAAGCCTACGACATCGCCCAACGAGCGGAGAGCGCTGGTCACCAGCAGAGGGATATTCGACGGAACGTCGAGCAGGTGCATCACACCAGTCAGCCGTCAGGTCATTCCACGTCTAAGGCGAAATCAAGCAGAAAGACACAGCGCTGTTGGCGATGCGACGACATGCACGATCCCCAGGTATGTCGATACAAGACAGCGACCTGCAATTTTTGCCAAAAACTGGGACACATTGAAAGGGCATGCATCTCGAAGCGCAAACAGTTTGGACCAAAGACTTCAGTGCAACGGAACAACAATGTCGACGCACAGGCGGGCCAGACGCAAGATACAAGCCGAACAGCACTAACGTCATCGGCACTATATGACTTAAACGCCGTTGTGTACCTCGGAACGAGACCGAAGATTACAACTGAAATTGTGGTACACCAGTGCTTTATCAGGTTTGAGGTGGATTCCGGAGAATCATGTACGCTCATCAGCGAGGACACTTTTCGCGCTACTTGGCGTGAGAACGCGCCAGCTCTCCAGCAAGACGACACGCAGCTGAGAACGTGGTCCGGACATTCCCTTCCACTGCTGGGCTGTGCCAACGTAGACGTGTACTACAACGGGCAGACCCATCAGTTTTCCTTGCTAGTCGTCCACGGTTCTGGATCAAGCCTTTTTAGGACGAAATTGGTTCACGCCCCTTGCAGTGGTCATTGGCGGAGTTCACCACACACCCAGTTATCCGTCAGTGGAGCAGCTTCAAGATAAGTACAAAGCGGTTTTCTCCGAAGAAATACCAGGGAACAACGGACCTCCAGTCACACTGGAGCTGCGGGAGGACACGACGCCAAAATTTTTGAAAGCTAGGTCGGTGCCTTTCGCCCTACGAACGTCAGTCGAGAATGAGCTTGACCGACTGCAGGAACAAGGGATCATCGAACCGACGCAACATTCGGAATGGGCTACACCACTCGTTGTCGTCCGAAAGAAGAACGGTACCCTACGCCTCTGCGGAGACTACCGGAGCACTGTCAACCTGGCGACAAAAGCATCTTCCTACCCACTGCCGACACCGAAAGAGGTTTTTAGCACGCTTCCTGGTGGAAAAATCTTCAGCACCTTGGACTTGACACAAACCTAGCAGCAGCTGAAGGCGAGCGAATCAACGTCTGAACTGCTCACAATAAACACTATTAAGGGTCTTTACAAAGTTAAAAGGCTACCATTCGGAATATCTGCAGCGCCAGCAATCTTCCAGAAATTTATGGAGTCTAAACTTAGCGGGATCCCAGGTGTTTGCGTCTACTTGGACGATGTTATTGTCGGTGGCGCCTCCAAAGAAGAGCACACAGAACGCTTGGAGCTCATTTTGAAAAGGCTAGCAAATGCTAACTTGCGCATCAGTAAAGAAAAATGTGTTTTGCGGTGCCTGAAGTGAAGTTTCTTGGACATCAAATTGACGCGCAGGGTATCCATCCCACTGAAGACAAAGTGCGTGCAATCACCGAAGCACGAGCGCCTACTAACAAGCAAGAACTGCAGTCGTTTTGGGGGCTATTGACGTTCTACGACCGGTGCTTAGAACATCAATCTACAGTGGCCAACGATCTATATCAGCTCCTGCAGAAAGAAGTCCCATGGACTTGGTCGCCACGCCACCAAAAATCATTTGTTGCCCTTAAGCAACTACTTCGCAAGTCTACTGTTCTGCGACACTACGACGAAAGGAGACCCCTACTGCTAGCCTGTGACGCATAACCATACGCAGTGGGAGCAGTCCTCTCCCAAGTTGACGACCAGGGACGGGAAGCCCCGATCGCTTTTACTTCGCGCACCCTATCGCAGGCAGAGAGGAATTATTTCTAGTTAGATAAAGAGGGACTTGCCATCGTCTACGCAGCAGATCACTTTCGGCAGTACATTACCGGCAGGAAAGTGACTTTCATAACAGATCACCGGCCCTTATTGGGTATTATGGGTCCCCAGAAGCCAATACCACAGACATTGTCGCCGCGAATGACACGATGGTGCATCAAGATGTCGGCGTACGATTACGAACTCGTACATCGCACGGGAAGAAACACCAGAACGCCGACGCACTAAGCCGCCTGCCGCTAGACACCACAATAGATGAACCACCCCCGCCGGGTGATATACTCATGTTCGAGGCGCTGGCGAACCCTCCGCTAACAGCTGACACGGTAGCACCATTAACGCAGGAGTGCACTGTCTTGAAGGAAGTCTACGCAGCTATACAAGAAGGCAACGTGCAGAAGCTAAAGGGGGAACACTTCAACGCTTACCTCAAGCGAGCTGCGGAGTTGAGCACTCATCGCGGTTGCGTCACATTGGGATCAAGAGTTGTGATTCCAACGGCACTTCGCGAACAGGTCATGTTGCTTGTCCACGCAGGTCATCGAGGCGTTGTTGTCATGAAAAAGTGCGCCAGAAGTTATTTGTGGTGGCCTGGTATCGACCATGATATAGAATTAACAGTTCACGATTGCCAGCCTTGCCAATGCAACCACAGAAGCCCGCCAAGAGCCCCCATTCCTGAATGGGAAAGACCAGACACGCCTTGGCACACCCTGCACATTGATTTTGCTGGACCTATCGAAGGGTGTTCGTTCCTGGTGGTTGTACACGCATACACCAAGTGGCTGGAGGTAAAACAAATGGCTACAACGACATCGGCAGCAGTTATCGACACTGCGGTCGTTGTTTGCAACGTTTGGCCTACCGCGCAAGGTGGTCTCGGACAACAGCACTCCGTTTGTGTCCGCGGAGATTCTCAAGTTTTACAGCGACAACGGCGTCTCGTCTGTTACATCAGCTCCACGGACAAGCCGAGCGCTACGTGGCTGAGCTAAAGCGCGCCCTTACTAAAGACCAGACTGGGACAATGCGACGCCGCATCGCGCGCTTTCTCTTGAGACAGCACAACACAGTTCAAAGCACTACTGATCAAACGCCAGCGAAATTGATGTTCGGACGAGAAATGAGAACCCAGCTGACAGCAATTGGCCCGGAGCCCTCAGCGAAAGCACAGTCGGAGGAAGAAAAGCTCCCGCATAGCAGGAGAATTGAAAGTGGACAGCGCATATACGCCCGCCAGTTCCCCAGAAAGCCCGGCTGGGTTGAAGCGATGGCACTCAAACGCATAGGTTTGAGGTCATGGCTCGTCGACATTGGTGGAAAGGCCACACGCCGCCACCTTAATCAGCTACGCCGTTCAGGTAATTTTCCAAGGGGACCTCCCATTCAAGCAGCCACCTCGACGGAAGCTTCGTTCCACCTAGCCTGGCATCTCGCACCAGATGAATCGGCGCCGCCGCCCGCCGGCCCTGAACACAAGAGAAACGACACCCAGCGAGCGGAAGCTTCTTTTCCTAGTGCGTCCAGAGCGTCCACGCGCCCACGGCGGCCCCCAGATCGCTTCCAAGCGACAAGCTAAGGAGGGAGGAAATGTTGTGTTCCAAGCACCCCTGTGTCACGAGCGCTCCGAACCCGCGAAGGACCGGTTGCTGAAACTGCTTCCAGATGTTGACTCCTCCCCTTCCCCCGCCCGGCGCAAACGAGCCACCGTCGTTTTCCCCGGCAGTTCGGCCGCCGCCTCCATCCGAATAGGAATAAACTTGTTTTTAACCGTTCGAGGCTGTCTGAGCTTTTTGGACTACCGCGACCAACGCGTACATCTATGGGCCGACGACAACTCCGAACATAACACCCATCTTCTACTGAAGCAGAGACAGTGAATTCAATCGGTGCTCGCGACAAGCAATCAGCATCGCTGTTCTTGCCACCGCATTTAGATACAACCACTACACCGTATTCCCGTAGCTGCAGGCTCCCCTTTGCAAGCCGTCTAGAAAGGGTCTTAAGATTAGCGAGCCAGTGAAATCAATTATGGTCATTAACGCCTCGAGAAGGCCTACCGTATAAATATGGCCGAAACGTGCTGATGGCGCCTATGACTGCTAGGAACTTGTTTCTGTCGCTGAATAGTTCACTTCAGCTTTCGAGAGAGTGTGAATAGCGCACGCAATCACTCGCTCTTGTACATTTTGCTACTGAATGAGTATGGCTCCGGGCCCTCAATTGCTCACATCGCTGTGGAGATCAGTTTTCGCTTCCTGGTCGTATTGAGCAAGAACTGGATTACTCTGAAGACACTTCCGTAGTTCATTGAACGCATCTTCATGTTCACTAAGCCAAATTAAAGGTGTGTCTTCCTTGGTGAGCCTCGTTAGCAATTCAGTGATCCGTGAAGCATTTTTGATTAATCGTCTGTAATAAGCACATTGTGAGTGAGTGAGAAAGACTATTTGGTCATCCGGCGGACGACAATCCTAGCCCCGCGAGGAGAGGGTCATCTTGGTGCAGCCACAAATCACCACGGCGTGACGTCCTCTACTTGGCGAGCAGTCCTCGCTACTCCCGCCTTCTGGCACCCGCGCCTGCCCCTGTGCTAGGGTGGTAGCGAGCACTTGAAGCTTTCGCTCGGGCACTGCTTTTCGAGGGCAGCCGAAAATCCACTGGACGGCCCGTGTCTGCTTTTCCTGCTGGTCGCTTCCCGCGGCGGCTGTAAGCCATGGCGGGATCGTCGCCCCTGTTCTTTCCTCCCTCGGATTCTGTTCACAATGCCACAAGATGCAGGCCGTAGTAGCTCTCTCAGTTCCACACACGCGACACAAGTCACTTGCGTATACGTTAGAACAAACGTGCTTAATGAGCACCGGCGTGATTAGCGACCATGTCTGTAGTTGCCGCTGTATCCTGTCATCCTGTCTTTGGCTTCGCGCCACCACTCCTCCATCGCGTTAGCTGGTTTGGCAGCGCAGTATGTAAAACCTCGCACCGCCTCATTGGCCGTCTGGTTGTGGTTCGCGCTGCCGCGAGGCGACACCTCCTTGCCCATGTGGGCCGGGAACCACTTATTTGTCACCATTCCGTCCGCTAGGTTCACCGCGCACAGCACCCGCATTGCTTCCACACATACTTAGCCTCTAGTGTAGTTCCGCACCGCGGTCCTGGAATCATTTAGCATGGTCATGCATCCGGTGTCGGCGAGAGCCAGGGCGATGGCTACCTCCTCGGCCCGATGCGCCGCTCGTGCCCGCACGCCCGCCACCGCCTTTGTCTCGCTGGTGACTGTGCTGACAACCGCCGTGGCAAACGCTCCCCCTCCCCCTTGTGCCTATAGTTGAATTGATTCCTCTCACGACAATATGTGGGGTTTAACGTCCTGAAACCACCATATAGTTATGAGAGACGCCATAGTGGAGGGCTTCGGAAATTTCGACCACCTGGCGTTCTTTAACGTGCACCCAAATCTGAGCCCACGGGCCTACAACATTTCCGCCTCGATCAGAAATGCAGCCGCCGCAGCCGTGATTTGAGCCCGCGACCTGTGGGTCAGCAGCCGAGTATCTTAGTCACTAGACCACCGCGGCGGGGCCCCCTGTGCCTATGCTCTGCCACGTCCACGTATACGGCATCGTTGGCTTTGGCCTGCAGGTCAATCAAGGCCCCGGCCCTTGCTGCCCTCCGCTATCTGTTGTGCTCAGGGTTCACGTTTTTGAGTATCGGGCGCACTTGCATGCGTCTCAGCACACACTCTGGCACCTCCGCTTCTTCTGCAGTCTCCATGTGCGCTCTCCTTGACTCCGTTTCTAGGTTGCGAAGCACCTGCCGGTCGGTTGTAGTGCCCGAGAGCCGCTGCAGCTGGGCGGTTCTTTGTGCTTCTGCAATTTCTCCGAGGGTGTTGTGCACCCCCAGTGACAGCAGCGTCTCCGAGCTTCTACAGTCAAAAAGCCCGAGTGCTGTCTTGTAGGCCCTTCGCATGAGCGCGTTTATTCTGTTGCGCTCGTGTACCTTCAAATTGTAAAAGGCTGCCACATAGGCAATATGGTTCACAACAAAGGACTGCACCAGCCGCATGAGGCTGGCCTCTTTCATGCCTCTGGCCCTTCTGCTTGGCACCCTCTTGATGCGGCGTATGGCCGTGTTGACTTTGGACGTTAGGTGGTTGATGTTCTCGCCGTTGCCTCTGCTTTGGTCTAAAGTCATGCCCAGCACCCGGATCTTTTCGACGTGCGGGATCACCTGGCCGCCACTTGTTCGTATCGTGATTTTCTGGCGGCCCCTTCATGGGTCTCGCTCCTTCTTTCTCACTCCCTTCGGTAGCACCATGAGCAGCTCCAACTTACTCGGGGAACACACCAGCCCTGAGCCGTCCAGTTGCTCCTCAATGGCATCCACCGCCGCCTGCAGTGTGCCTTCTATGTTGGCGTCGCCTCCTCCCTTGATCCAGAGCCTGATATCACCGGCATATATGGTGTGCCGGATTCCGCAGATGCGCCAAAGCTGTTCGGTCACTCCCATCATTACTAGGTTGAACAGCAGCGGCGAGATGACCAGCCCTTCCGAGGTCCCCCCGCTGCCCAGCTTCTTTTCCGGTAGCTGAAGGTCGCGCGTGTATCTCAACCGTGCGACCCGACAGAAAATCTTTGATGTATCTGTATGACAACTCGACCTTGTTCAGCCTCGACACCTGCGCCAGAATCACTGAGTGCGTCACCTTGTCAAAGGCGCTCTGCAGGCCCGACGGAGCACGGCATGGTTTTACCTCGACCTGGTTTTGTCGTCCAAAATCTCGCTCTTGAGCTGGATCATAGCGTCTTGGGTACCCAGCTTGCTCCTGAAGCCGATGACCGTGTCTGGGTAGAGCCCTGACTGCTCCAGGTAGCGCTCAACCTGTTCATCAGGACATGCTCCTGCACCTTGCCCACGCAGGACGCGAGTGAGATGGGCCAGAGGTTCTCAATGTCTGGTGGCTTGCCCGGCTTGTGGATTAGTATGGTTTCGGCCGCCTTCCACTGCCGTAAGAGAGTCTCAGCCCGCCAGCACCAGTTGTAGCAGCGCGTCAGGCTTTCGATCACCGACTCGCCGAGTTTCTTCAGCACCTTGTTCATCACTCGATCTGGGCCTGCCACCAATCTGGTGTTGAGGTCGTGTAAAGCCGCTCTGTCCTCCCATACTTCAATTTCTCTGTCTAGACTGAAGTTGACCGTCCCCTGGTAGTGCGGGTGGTGCATCTCCGGGGTTTCCGGCAGGCACTTGGCGTCCAGGCGTCTTCGCACCTCGTCCTCTCCGCATTCTGTGACCGCTGCGTGCATTATCTTGGTTAACTGGTCTTGCCGGTGCGACTTGATCTTATTTTTGTCCAGGAGGTGCCACAGTAGGGTCCGCGTCCTGCCGCAGTGCATCTGATCGTCCGCCGCGCTACAAATCCTGTGTAATCGCTGGGCGCCCAGTGTTCTGCAGTGGACCTCGATCATTCGGTTCAGCTCAGCGATCTTTTTGCGGAGCTTCCTGTAGGTGCTCCGCAAAAAGATCTGTGCTTTCCACCTCGTCAGGAGGGCCTGCTTCACCTCGATGAAGACAGCTAGGCAGTTGTCCACTCGCTCGATACTGGCATCCATCTCGATCTCTCTTGTCTCTGCCGCGGCCCATTCCGTGAGCCCCGCCGTCTACTCTTCGATGTCCTTGATCACCACCTTCTCGGCTGGTAGCGACCCTCGAAAGGCGTCGCAGTCGGTGACCTTGTGTGTCCTGACGCCGTTGCTGGATTTGGTGACGGTACCTCTGTTGCTGAGCGGGGCGGTGACCTTCACGATGTAGTGGTCGCTTCCCAGCTCGTGCCCCGTGTTCCGCCAGGCAAAGTCTTTCATGTTCGCATGGTCACTGCCGCCGCTCCGAACAAACGCGAGATTGGGCGTCTTGTCTCGGGTGACCGAGTTGCCAATCTGCGTGGGCTCCACCGGGTCAGTGGTAAGGGTCAGCCCTAGGTCAGTCGCATCCTGCAGGAGGTCTCGGCCCTTCACTAGTGTCCTGCTGTAGTCCTAGGCCTGGTCCGACACGTTAAAGCCTCCGCACACGACCAGTTTGTTGTTCGAGCCGGTGATGCGGTTCGCCTTGTGCAGCAGAGCCTTGAACTTCTGTTTCCTATGTGCCGGGCTGCTATAGATGTTTAGTATGAATGCGCTCTCCTTTCTACTTCTCTTCCCGGTGATCACCTCGATGAAAGTGTGCTCAATAGGGCTGTTCTCGGCGAGTACCTCGTGCTCTAGGAAAGTGATGCCCTTCCTCATCAGGGTGCAGGCCCCTCAACCAGTGCTGCCGGTCTTGTGCCACAGGTTCGGCGGGCTGGCGCTCGCATTGTAGCCCGGCAGCTTGACCTCCTAGGTGAGGGTTTCCTGCAGATCCATGACGTCGGGCCTCACGGTTGTCTGTTCGACTTGTTGCTGCAGGATGGCCTTCTTTCTGGCAAAGCAATTACAATTCCACTGCCAGACCAGGAGGCCTCACGTGATCCCTACTGCTGTAGCTGATGTTGTTGCTGCTCTACCCATGCTTTCGGTGGGTGTTGTTGTTGGCTTGGTACCTATCCTCCTGACGCCTGCAGCGCCGCCATGATTTGTTGTAGTGCGCTGCCAATGTTAGCGAAACGCTCGTTGAATGCATTGATTGTCACATTGCGCTTCTCTATTCTGTTGAGCCCCTCATTGATTCTCTGCTCTTTGAGACTTTTGGTGACTCTCCTCTTGGGTACTGATCTCACTGCCGCTGCCGCCGTCTTGTTTGCTAAAATCTGCTCCCTCATAGCATGCAGAGCTGCCAAGACCGAGGTCTGTGCCCGCTCCACCTGTTGGTGCTGCGGCTGCTGTTGTCGCTGCTCACATTGCCGCTCCTCCGCAAACTGCTGCGTCGGCATGGGTCTTCTCGGCTGATCCATCTTGAGTGCCATTACTTCTTTGTTTGACATGTCCAGCGTAGCTATAAGCTCCACAATTTTTCTGTTGAGTACCTCATTTGCTCTGGTAAGCACGCCTATGTTCTCTTTGAGTAGCTCAATCCCCTCGTCTCTCTTGTCGGCCTTTTGTCCCCGCTGTTGTCTACACCGCTCGGCACTTGGCTCTGCTGCCGCGACGGTTCCCTCTCTCTGAATACTGCTTTGACAGCGTCCGTCCAGCCTACGCGCGCTCTTGAATCATCAATCAATCAATCAATGTTTCTTTATTAGCATCAGAAGTTTACATTGTGAGTAAGTATGCAGGAGGAGGTCCCAAGGTAGTAAACCGCAGGCGGGACCTCCTATGTTATTACAATGAAAAAGCTAAAATATGAATAACGAAAGAGCAAGTCACGGAACATTTCGAACTTTTTTTTTTCTACAAACAAAGCAAGATATCAAAACTTAACAAAATCTAGCAGTTATACGTTTAATAGAGACTTTTTCAATTTCCTCTTAAAAACATGAATGTGCATTAAGTCTTTCACATCATGTGACAAAGAATTCCATAATGAAATTGATGAAAAAACAATGCTCATTTTTCCATAATTAGTGCGAACTTTAGGTAATAACAGGTTATGGGCGGCCGCGAATCTACTATTATTGGAATTATCCAACAAGGTAATAGGAAAGATGTCGATAGTGAGGGTACGGTAGAAAATTTTAAAAAACAAAACACACACATTGTAAACGTACATTTGGGAGATCGGCATTACGTCAAGCTGGCGAAAAATCTCATGTGATGGCGCTTGACGTGAAGCAAAAGTTATATGTCCAATTGCTTGTTTTTGCAATACCTTTAACGGCCAAATGTGCACCGAATATGAATTACCCCATGATGTAATGCAATAACTGAGATGACTGTGTATGAATGCATAATACAATGCCTTCAGAGTTTTGATGTTAAAACACATTCGTGACTTGACCAATGCCCTGATACCGTACGAAATCTTTTTACAAACACAATCGATATGTTGCTGAAATTTTAGATGTGTGTCCATTATAACTCCTAAAAATGACGTACGATCACTTAAAGGAATAACTACTGAGGGCACGTAAAGGTAAGGAATAAATGCTAGTTTTTTGTTTGGTGAATAAAAAAGCATAAAACAGGTTTTGCAAGGATTAATCAACAATCTATTAGAGTTGCACCAGTCAACAAGACAATTAAGGTCAGCTTGAAGTCTTGACACGAGGGTCGCTAAATCCAAGTGATGAGAAAAGAGAGTCATGTCATCAGCGTAAAGTAAACAAGAAGAATAATTAAGACAACGTGGTAAATCATTTATGAATAATAAAAATAATAACGGACCCAAAATTGAACCTTGCGGAACACCTCTTGTAATGGGGGTGGGACTGGATGTAAAATTATCGACCGAGACCACCTGCAACCTATTAAGAAGAAAGCTCTGTAATAGTGTTAATGCGGGACCACTTATGCCATAGTACTGGAGTTTGCGAAATAGGATGAAATGATCAATACTGTCAAATGCTTTAGTAAAGTCGACGAAGACAGATCCTGCGATGTTACCATTATCAATGAATGATCTGATTAGTGAAACAAGCAATTGCAGTATCAGTGGAAAGACCAGCCCTAAAACCAAACTGACAAGGAGAAAGTATGTTAAATTTGCTTAAATATTTAGATATTCTTATTTCAATTAGTTTTTCCAAAATTTTATCCAGGAAGGGAAGGACAGATATGGGTCTGTAATTGCACATGCTGAGGGTGTCACCTTTTTTAAATACTGGCACTACCTTCGCAACTTTTCATTTATGCGGGAAAACACCGTTCTTCAAACAGCGGTTAAAAACGTGGCTTAATATAGGTGCTACAAGAGATCTTACAAGTTTAATGTGCTTTGAATGGATATTGTCTAACCCAGCTCCGGTGGCTGTTAATCCAGAAATAATTGAGCAAATTTCAGAAGCACATGTAGGAAAAAGAAACATCGACTGAGGGCTGTGAGAAAACGGAGGTACATAGTCTGAGGAGAAGGGGACCGCAAGGCTAGTGGAAAAGTGTACATTAAGGGCGTCGGCCACGTCACTGGCCGCAGTGAGGGTGACGTTGTCGACACGAATAGAGGTCACTTTTCTGCGCGACTGAGTGGAATTTAAAAATTCTTTTAAAAGCTGCCATTTTTTCCCTGAGTTATGTCCACAATTCTGTAGTTCCCGCTCATAATAAATTTGTTTAGCCTTTCTCAAAAAGTGTGGCTAATGTGCGAGTAACTTTTATAGCGTGATTTCAAGCGTGAATTAAAAAGGCTGACGTTTCGTCTTTTTATATAGGTTCTCTTTTTTTTGCGAAGAGATCGTATCAGTGATTGTGATAACCAAGGGCACCGTGGGGCGAACTAGCGTCTGTTAGATGATTGCAATGTAGTTGAACGCTCAACTGCTGAATAAATAGCGTCGTAGAACCTGGTCAAGGCCTCTTCAGGATCATTCGCGGCATATACACTGGACCAATCTTCATCGGCAATGAGCATGCAGTACTTGTCTGAATCAAAGCGATACTTTTGACGTATTGTGTTGCTACGAGTGATGACCTGTTCAAAATATAGGAATACAGGAAAGTGATCTGTGATGTCACTCTCAATGACACCAGCGTGACTGACGTCATCAATGTTTGTGAAGATGTGATCGATAGATGACCGTGAGCCGTTATCAGAACAGCGTGTTGGTACAGATATTAGCGATTTAAACCCAAAACTATGAAAACAAGTCTTATACTCGAGAGCAGAATGGTTAGAGGAATCTAGGAAATCAAAGTTCATATCGCCCATAATTATTATATTCTTGCGCTCAGCGGTAAGTTTATCAAGCAAGTGATGAAGCGCATTACAAAAAGCAGAGGGGTCACTGGAAGGGGATCGATAGACAGTAGCAAGAATAGTTTTTCGTTGATTCTGACAAAGACCAGGCAGATCGATTTCCAACCAAAGAGATTCACATTTCGCCACATTTAGGTTTAAATCATTGCGCCTTTTATACAGAATGTTGTTTGATATAAAAATGGCGGAGCCACCATGACGATCATCAGCTCGGTGAGCATATTCGCTTACATACCCGGGAAAGCCATACAAGTCCCCATGACCAGGCGATAACCAAGTTTCGGAGCAACAGATCGCCGAGAACTGATGATTAAGGGAAGCTAGTAGAGCGGTAATACTGTCATAATTTTTAGGGAGGCTACGAGCATTGAAATGAATCGAAGAAAAACCCCAGTTCTGCGAGGAAATGTTATTAAAGTCACCCGGAAGAAAATAAGCCATTATGTTTTCTTTTTTTATCAAGCTTACGTTATTTCACACCTATGAGTTGAACACATGTACATCGACATCACTGACAACTTTGTGCACTACACTATCGAGAGTTTGTCTTGCCTTAATAACACAATTGTCAGTCCACAGAAAAGCCCACTTCATTTGTTTCTTGAGTGCAAGTGCTCTAGAAAACAGCCGCTTATTATCAGACGTCAGGTACTCATTAACGTATATTGGCTTTTCCTGCGCTGCCGAAAAACCGAGCAAGTCTGTTTTTGGGCGAAACTTCCGAGCCTTCTTCAGAAACTCTGTGCGCATGTCGCGCGAGCAGAAGCGCACAATGATGTTTTTGTTGTTTGTGTCGCGCATTGGTAAT